GACCAGCACAACGACCGGTCGTTATGACGTGCACTGACCTCCAGGGGGCAGATGCTCAATGCAGAAGCTGCCGCCTGGTGGTCAATGCACTCAGTCAGAAGCCGGGCTGACATCCCCCGAGGGCTCCTGGACTGCGAAAGGGCGCAGGGATCTTCCCCCACCCTTTTCCCCGCTCCCCCTCATCCCCCCAGTAAACAAATGTGTTCACATACAAAAAACTTAACCCCCTATTCACATAAGTATATGTCCTAAGATTTAAAATGATTATTTCTCAGATTAATGTAGGTGCCCTATCTATTAGATTATAAGTCACCCCTATCACTTTCATCACTGGGATATAGTTAACAAGAGCTAGGAGGTAGGTGAGATAGGACTCCAGAAGGCCAGTGCTACCTCATGCAGGATCCCATAAGCCACAAGAACCTGAAATTTTATTCTAAGTGCAACTGGAATCACAGAATATTTTGAACTGAACAGTGACAAAATCTGACTTATATTTTTAAGTATCGTTCTGGCTGATGTTTGAAGAATGAATTTTAAGAAGGTAAGCAAAATCGAGTCCAAGTTACTCATTTATTCAACAAATTTAAAAAGTTTGCGGAGTAGCTAATATGGTGGCAAGCTCTATCCAAGGTACTGCAAATACAGCAAAAACAATACAAAGTCCTGCATTCTGTAATAAACTTTAGAGTGGTACACACACACACACACACACACACACCCCTCTTTCCGCTACATCAACAATTCCTGCATCTCTACTGGACATTTTCCATCAATGTATAAATTTTAGTACCTACCATCTTTAAATAAACATCAAGCAAAACTATATCCTTTGACCTTTTATTCCCATCTAGCTATCATCCCATTTGTTACACCCTAATTGAGAAAAACTTCTTTAATGAATAGTCTATAGTGCCCTGGCTGGTTTGGCTCAATGGATAGAGCATCGGCCTATGGATTGAAGGGTCCTGGGTTGATTCCGGTCAAGGGCACATGTCCGGGGTTGCAGATTCTGTCCTTAGTAGGGGGTGTGCAGGAGGCAGCCTATCAATGATTCTCTCTCATCACTGATGTTTCTACCTCCCTCACCCTTCCTCTCTGAAATCAATAAAAACAAAAAAGTCTATAGTTCTTCACCTCCAGTTAGCAGAAACCACTATAATCAAGGTCCTCTCTTTCACCCCGCTAAAACAAGTATTAGTAAGTAGAATGCCTTATACTTTACATATCTTTATATTTTTTCTTATTGTAGCATTTTTGTACGTGCCTTATCTATCTGCTTTGCCAGACTGTAAACTCTGCAAGGTGGTAAGCAGACCTTAAATATCACACATTGCCACGGACTTGTATTGTAAACTCATATATCAAGTGAGGAATTCATTTTACAGCTCTTTGCACACTTGTGTATGTGTGTGTTCAAAAACCCATTTATCTGCAAAGTATTGAAGGGGGCTCATGATACCACGAAAAGCTAATGGAAACAGGCATCGATGCAAACAGAACACAACCCGCGTTAAAGAGTACGATTGTGTTCATTCCTATTGCTGGCCTTTTATTAGCGTTTCTTGGCAACCGAAGGAAGAAGGGCATCTGAATCTCACCGTGTGTGTAGCATTGAACCAACCACAGAGTCAGGCATTGGCATCATCTGCAGAGATCACCTTTCCCCTGGACCAGTCCCCGGGAGGGGCTTTGGTCACTAGGGCTGTCCTAGGAGTCACCGACAGTCTACCTGGAACAACTGTGGGAGCAGAGACATCAGTAAAAATAACTGAGCAGAGACAGTAGCTCGGAAGGGCTGCTGCAGTTATTTAACTCGGCTCTGCGGCTTTTAGAGCAAGAACCTGTGATGCGTGGACCCATCGGTGCCTGAGCGAGAGAATCCTCAGTTTTCTCCCCCGGGGTTTGGTCCAGGCTTGGCAATCGCAGAGCAGCCTGAGTCACTTGATGGTGAGAACAAAGGGTCAACAGCAGCCCAGCGGCTCGGGCTCGGGGGCAGCCTCGGCCCCACTGGGCTCCTGGGGGCAGAAGAGTCCTAGGTGAGCAGAGGGGTCCAACCAAGGGGGTGGGGGCTGGGGGAGGAAGGCAAGTCCAACCGGCACCAGGCAGTCCCTTCCCAGACGCGGGAACCTCTCCCGGTCCCGAACGCGAAGGAGCGGCAGAGGCAGCCGTGGCCAGGGGGATCCTCTCTCCTGTGGGCCCCGGGGGTCTCCTGGAATAAGACGCCATCACCCCACTCGGTCCGACCCCAGAGATCACCCACCTGCAACCGCGGCATCCGAAGTCTCCACCCCGGTCTCTCTGCCTCCGGAGGGCTGGCTGCGATTGGTTTGCGCCGCTGTCCCGTTAGCTCTTTCCCG